TCCCAGGCCACGACGAGTAGGTCCGACTTCTTTACTTTCCCCTCTGCTGCTCCTGTCTGTCTATACCTTGCTTTTTCCCCAGCACCAAATGACTATTATTGTGTCGATGTGCTTTTCTTTACTCAAACAAACAAAACAAAATCCTGCATCTGACAGCTACTCCGGGCGCTGAGGGGAATATATAAGGCACCCTAAGAGGGAAATGCTCAATAAAACAAACGTCCCCTCGATGGAGAGCAAACTCAAGTCTTCTGCGAGCAACGGTACTGGGTCAAACACTAACATTTACACCACAGACATCGACACCGAAATGTGTTCCATAACTGATCCCCACAACGTACGTTTCTGAGACTCGCTGAAGTCGAGTTCCTTCCCCTGGTTGAATTGCAGACCCTCAGCTGAAGAAATACAAACAAGCGTCACATAACATCGTTGTTTACGCAAAATTCCTTATTTTTTCCAAGGACTTTCTGATTGTTCACGCATGGTCTTGTTATTGTTTTTCGCGGTAGTCTCGACCACCCATCGTCACCCCCCCCTCCCTTTCCTCCCGACACACACACAAACACACACACACACACACACACACACACACACACACACACACACACACACACACACACAGGTTGTGCGTTTCGTCCTAGTGCGTGGAGTGCACTCCCAAAGTCCCTGATAAGATTTGCCTGCAGTATAAAGTCGTAGTCATTAATACTCATAGAAAATCAGAAGAACCGTGTGGGAAAAACACACAAACGCAGGCGCACACACAAACAAATACACACACACATTCACACAGGACACTGCACTTAAACCATTTGCACCCCTTTCAACAACAGAAACAGTGACACTCACTACCACTGACAATCTCAGCTAGGGTAGACACTCGCTAGCACTGACAGTGTCACCGGGGACACACTAGCACTGACAGTGTCACCTGACACACATTCGCCAGCCCTGACAGTGTCACCTAGGACACATTCGCTAGCACTGACAGTGTCACCTGGGACACATTCGCTAGCACTGACAGTGTCACATGGGACACACTAGCACTGACAGTGTCACCGGGGACACATTCGCTAGCACTGACAGTGTCACCTGGGATGCACACAGCAGCAAAGTAGGAACGCACTTACTGTGAGGTTGGGGACGAATCCGTCATGGCCCAAACTTCCCCGTCCTTTCATGAGCAGTCTTTCCTCTCAGAACACTGTCCTACGATAGGACCGTGCGCTCCACCTTCATAATAATATGAATGATAGCAACAACGAATCCCCCCCCAAAAAAAAACAAAAAACAACAACAACAACCAAACAACACATCCCAAGGGGAGCTAAGCGGAAAACAAGTTATTTAGGAGTTGTTGGCGTAAAGACGGTGTGTACCAGCTGGAGTAAAAAGAAGCAACCGTACTGACCGAGGGGTACGTGTAAATGTAATTGTAACAACGCCAGCACCTCGGTACAGGCACGACAATGGCCATGTAGAGCATGGGAACGGTAACCAATACGGGACAGAAACAACCAAGCAAGAAAAAGAAGCACGCGTCTATCAAAGATGTCCTCACACTACCCGCGTAAATGGAAGAGGAATCACAGCTTTGCCGGGCAAGCTGATGGACTTTACTTCGGTCTATTTTTCCAAGTTTATCCCGCTGAAATAAGATACATTGTAACCGGTAAGGACATAGTTACACACGTACGTACGGACATTTAATTCTGTGGCGTACCAGTTAGGGGCATTGTAGTAGCACGCAGGAGATCAGAGTTCGATTCTTCTGGAGGAGAATAATATCATTATCGAGTACCTCGGTCTTTTTGCTGGGATGTTGTATTCCTTTCAACCCGAGTTTGTTTATTCGTTTATTCGAGTAAAGAGAAGCACATCGACACAATAATGGTGATTTAGTGTTGGGAAAAAGACAGAGAGACAGAAACAGTAGAGGGGAAAGTAAACAAGTATGATCTACCAATGGCGCCCTCCAACCACTCTATAGCCAGGGTTGGTCGTTGTAGTCATGGCCGAAGCCCACCTCCTTAATGATCTATACCGAGTCGACAGTCGGGGCGTAAACAGCCACATAAAAAAACAACAACAACAACAACAAAGAAAGAAATAGACTGGACTGAAGGCACCCCACCAGCCACCCATTATTTATTATAAGACGCTGGAGGTGACGAACACCAGAATGTTGCGGCACGCGGCCTAACCCCATTCAGTGCACTGCACATCTCTGAGGTAAACACGTGTAACCTTGACCTTACCCTGACTCAACGCAAGCTCCGGCTTGGCCCCGAGACAAGACGCCTACCCAAGGACAAAACGATCTAACCACAACACAGACACGCATTACAGACGGACTCTTTCGACTTCCGATCGGTGAAATCGCTGCGATAGCTTGCGTCAAACGAATGCATCCAATGCAAAGGCACGCCAATATAACGAGCATTGCATCTTCTCGCGTTCAACATTAGCTCATTAAAAAACAAAAACAAACAAAAAACAAAACAAAAACAGAGTTGCAAACACAGATTAGATCTACGCCCCATCCCCCATTCAGACACACATAAACCTACTCATTTTGTTATGCTATGAGATCAAGATATTTTGATGAGATAATACATTTTTGTACTCTATGGGGATGGGATTGGGGGGGGTGGGGGGTGGGGATGACAACACCCACAAATCATTTAGCGACAGTCTAGAAATAATTGTGGGGGGTGATAAAATGGCGCAGATATGACATGGGGTATAATCGAGGGAGTGTGATCCCTCATAACAACCACTACGGTACAGCAGACAACCGTCCTCAGAAGCATTCGAGGTGAAATCATCTCAATTACGCTAACGTAGTAGTAGTAGGCTATGAAGACTGATGACGATTTAAAAAGATCGGAGACATTCTTAAAAGACAGACGACCTGAGTTGATTGTAGCTGCAAGGGAGGTTAAAATGGGGAGAAACAATATTCCTACTATGGAGATGAGTAAAAAGTAAACAAGATCAGAATACCATAATCATCTCCAAGGAAGTTATTATAGTTTTCGTTGCTGTTGCTGCTGCTGCTGTTTTATTCTATAACCCAGTTACTGTGTTGGCACGAAAACGGCCACAAGAAAAGAAGAGCACCCACTACCACGCCCATGTGACAAGACGACACGGCCTTGACCTTCAATCAACTGTCTCTACCTGGCGTAACCACGTCTGATATTGATAAGCTCTCACAAACAATGATTCCCCCCCCCCCCCTCAACACGGCTTTAGCACGCCGTCCCACGTGTAACACCATTATTTCAACAACACGACAAGCATACCCCACTTATGTTCCGAGCGGGTCAATACCAGCCACAGTCACGCACGATCGCTGGGTTGAGGTGTGACTTCTTAAATAAGTTATAAAATATTATACATCCGTGTGCTCATTTCCCACTATTGATATTGACATATTTTGCCTTTTTCTCTCTTTCTTTCCTTTTCTCCCTCACAAATTAATAATAAATAATACATAACATGTAACTCTGTGGACAAACATGGGGAACGAACATGAAATGGAATATGAATAATATGAGAGTGAGCACTACTTTTTAAGGATCGGATGACATGCACAGTCAAAGAGGGAAAGTAAATATGTATCTGCTCTGTTACTATGATAAAAAAGTGGGGTCAGAAAGAGGACGAGGTTTTGTAAAATACAAACAGACTGTCGAACGGAAAGAAAACAACTGCTGTGATTATATTATAATAAACTATTGTAGATTCTATACCACGCAGCATTCTCATTAATGATACATGTATGTCGGTAGTCTGTGGCCTTGGTAGTCTAGTCGTTATGCTATCAAGCACATAATCGTGAGGTTGTGGGCTTGGGGGTTCAAACTCAGGCCAGATGTTGTGTGCTTGGGAAAGGCACTTTACACAAATTTTCCTCACTTCACCCAGGTGGGAATGGGTACCCGGCCATAGACTGCGTAAGATTTTGTCAGTAAATTAGTGCTTAAGTGTCTATAAAATGGCAGCTGGCACTGTATGCTTCCCAGAAAGTTGAGATTTGTTTCAGAATGCTATCAGGTCTGCTGGGGCAATATTAAAGATTATTTATTAATATTTTAAGCACAGAGAGCTTGCTGCTGAGTGGGAAATTAAGCTATTATTGTTACTACTATTACTATACTATTTTTAGTGAATGAAGATTAATTTTGTCCAAGACAATACAAACTTGACTAATAGAGGAGTCCTGTGTCCTGCATCACAGCTTAGCTGCCAGAAAATTACTTTTGATCAAAGTATAGGGTTTGAAAGGAGAGAAGATTGGGAGCACAACAAAACTTGACATTTTAATTACTATTAAGGTCACATGGGCTAATTTAAAGAAAAGGTGCACACTTTTGAGGAGGATCCCTATCTGAAAGTTCCTCTCAAAGTGATGAAAATAAAAATCAAGTGTTATCGATTCTTATCAGATACTCAAATAACTGGAAACAAACATGCATCAAGTTGAAAAACATTTTTTGGATCCAAACATTCTCATTCTGTTTTGGGGGCCCATGTCTTCCCTATGCCAGCAGAAGAATGAAAAAGACAGGATTAATGCCCTGAAAGCTTGCTTGATCTGATTTCATTCAATGCAAAGTTTAGTTTTAGTTTTAGTGGAGGTTTTACGGCACTCGCAACTGCATAAGGTCATAAGAGTGCCAGAAGATTAGAGGTGTTACAAGAGAGTAACAAATATAAAAAAGAAAAAGGGGAGATAAAGAAGATAGATGTTTGATAGGAAAGAAGGAGCAAACCACACCAGAGCACCCGCCAACCACCCGCTAACGCAAAGTGACTACAATTTACAACAAGGTGAACTGCATTATCAATAAAATGAGACTGGTAGAAATGTATTCAATTGAAAAGTTTTTAAGTGCTCGAGTCATGAGTGTTACCTCTACATGCAAGCGGTCTAAAACTGAGACAGTTCTTGAAAAGACGTATTTAATTCAAAATGAAGTATATTTTACCTGTAGGTTGGTGTCATCAACTCCAACTTTGAAGCAGTCCCATAGGCCTCTGCAGTTCTTTTCCTTGAGGATAACAAAGACGAGGTTGTCATCACTGGTGTCCACAGTGCAGTGCTTAGAGGAGACCTTGCAGCTGTCAGGAAACTCGATGTACAAGCTGTAGTAGACAGGGAAGCAGCCAGCCCCCATTGACATGAACTGAATGACAGCAACTGTGCTTTGTGGGTAAAACGTTTGAATCCATTGCTCTTCTACACTCTGCACTTTAAGAACAAAAGAAACAGTCTCATTATCTTGTGAATACTGGTACTCAGGCAAGCTCCACTTGACATTTTGAGGAAAGTTTGGCCTTTTCTCATTGTCAAGTTTATCCTTTTGGGAATCATGTTCCACAACTCCGTTTTCCACAATGTAATCAACTTCCCCTGCATCTGAGAGGACTTCTATTAAAGGTGGCCCTTCATTTTCAATCACTTCTGAGGTTTGCTGTCCGTCAGTTGCCTCACTGTCTCCAAATGGTAATGAAGGAGTTTTCTCCGCAATCACAGGTAGGGTTACCGTCAATGTTCGTTTTGACTTGTCAAATTTCGCACTCCCCTCATCATCATTGACAGGAAACGGAAGAGCAAGGTCAAGCTTGTAAGCAGCAGGAGAAACAGACTCCAAAAGTAATCTTTTCTCAAAGATGTCCAGACTGGCCTGTGCTGCAGACTTGAGGAGAGGTAACTCGATTTTGACGACAAGCGCCTTTGGTCGTGTTGAAGGCTTTGCATCAGGGGCATTCCTATACTCACTCATATCCAACTCTGATCTGTGTGTTATTGTGTACCTGGGTTCAGTGAATGTTTCCTCTTTCTTCGACACACCATTTGAAATCACAGCATTTTTCTGATTTCCCTTTTCCTCATTGCTTTTAGCTTTTTCAGCAGAGGTCTTATTGTCATATGGATAAGGCATCTGATTAACAATATTATCTGGATCAATGGGGTTTTGCTCTGCATCTGATTTTCTCTCTCTTATGATAGTGGCAGTTGGTGTGCCCTTAAACTTCATTTTGGGGTATTTGATATTTTTCCTGTCCAATGTTACATTAAACTGACGTTCTATTCCATCAACTGCAGTGTCCTCCACTAGTTTCTTAAAACGAGCATTTGTTGTGGCCATTCTAAATGTGTCAGGGTGAAACACAACATCGAAGACTTGACACTGTTTTTTTGCATTGTCTCTGTCTTCTTTTGGTGGCGCGAAGGAATGTGGAATTTGCCACATCATCCCACTTTTACCATCAGGCCCAGTTTCCCTTTTGGCCTTTGGCTTTTCGACTTTATCATTTTGGCAGATATTAATGAATGCTTTTGTGGAACCATCGACTGTTGTCTTCATAACATAACCCGGTTGTGGGTGAATAAATTGCACATTCATACCTCTTTCGCTTTCCATCATTGCAATTTCTTCTTCCGCCTTGCGTCGGTTTTCTGGGTCAGAAATTTCTTCCGCATACTCAACGAGCATTTTCCTAAATTTTTCATCTTTAAGCGCTTCGCCAAGACGCTTCATTTCGTCTTGACTTAGGTCCAAGTCTTCGAAAGTTCTATCAGAAGCCATGTTGTTTGGAATGCAAACACCGTAGTGACGCATGCGTTGTCCGGTTCAAAGGGAGATCGCTCTCGAATATTTCCCCTAGTCTTTTAGTAGTTATTTCCCTTGTACTACCCAAGCCCAGGGCCCAGTTATTGGCGTCACTGGTTACTATTCTGACTATTCAATGATCTGTGATTCTTCCAATAAGTGACAGGTCACTCCAACTTCTTGGTTCACTCAAAGATCCAGTACAACTAATGTAGATAAACTTGTAGCATAGGAAATTGGCTCACTATGGACATGACTATAAATATCGATACAAAAATTAAAGTTAATGTTCATGCCTCGCTCTCATAACTTGGCGTTTTTAATTAAAGCTAGATTGTTAAATGTTTTAAAATCCCTGAAAACACGTTTCATAAAATTATTTAAAACTAGAACCTCCCATTTGTTACGAGGATATCGGAAATACTTAAACGAGTACAAAACGCAGACCTGTTAAAAAAAACAACAACTAATACAGCATCAATAATTCTCATCTTTCTTTGTGGGTGGTTGGCGGGTGCTCTGGTGTGGTTTGCTCATTCTTTCTTATCAAACATCTATGTCCATATCTCCCCTTATTCTTTTTTATGTTTGTTACTCTCTTGTAACACCTCTAATCTTCTGGTGCTCACATGACCTTATGCAGTTGCGAGTGCCGTAAAACTCTTAGTAAAACTAAAACTAACATCTTTCTTTTAATTTAATTTTTGTTTGTTTTTTGTTTGTTTATTTATTTATTTATTTATTTTTTTTTAAATTT